CAGATATATTTACCATTGAATTTCAATCATTAATATAACGAACGATATCATATGCAAATAAATTAAAATGAAATATTAAACACATTTAATTCAAACGTATTTTAGTTATATTTCTAAAACAAATTTATTCATTTACTATACATCTTATAAGGTATTGAAACACAGACGGCTGCAATTAATAAACTAATTAAAGTGAACAACATTTTATTGATGAAGCTGGCTTTCAATAAATAATTTCTAAAAGAGCATTTGAAGTTTCGTGAATGTGTTCTTTTTGGATTACTGCTTGCATAAAAGCCAGGGAAATACCTGGAAGACGGCGTGGGTGCCTTTCACTCAACTCCGCTTGGGGTCGACTGGGCGGCGTGCCATGTCAAAGTTGGATTCGAGTCGAGTGTGCCGAGTCCGCTTCTGCTGCAGCTGGAAATGATTCAATTTCACGGCCATTCATTCCGCGTCGAGTGCGCGGCCACCGCAATTTGTTGCAATTAGCAGCAGGCAGACTTGCAGATCGACTGACTTTGCCTCGCCTTGCCAACTGGCCACTGGCAACACGCAATGCCTTTGCCCATTTGCCGCAGACGCCCCCGCTGAAAAGCGAAAAGGAAATCCAGTCGGGGGAAATGCACTCGTCCAACTAAATGAGAAACGCCCGCCGGTGGGATGGTCAAAGGGTGATGGAGGATGAGGAGGGCTGGCTGGGATCCACCGACCTTGCCGCCCGCGATTGCTCCACAATTTCCTCGGCTCTGTCTTGGACTCTGGCTTGCCTCTTGGCTAATGACCATGTGGCGAACGCGGGCAGAACCGCTGACCTTTCGCCAGACGCAGAGCAAGTGAAGCGTGCCAGCTGCAAGTCGCCAAATCCGGCATGTCAGCCCAAAACCGAATGTACTTTTCTCTTCAGTCAAACAAATATTTGCCCTGAATTTAAGATATTAACTAATGGTTTCGAGCTAATATCTATTTTTCTAAATTTAGAATATAGATTGTATGAAATGTTTCACTCCTAAAAACCTTTGTTTTAGTAGAGAAAAATTTAAAAAATTGTCACTAAAATTTATAAACGATCTTCTATTAAATCGAAATTAATGGCAAATTTCCAAAAATGAAAGAAGAATACTTTAATGTATGTTACCTCACCAAAAACAAAATAAACCATCAAGCACGTTTTGATTAATTTTCGGCTTGTTGGAAAAACAATTTATTTGTTAAGCCAATCATAAAATGGAGTTTCTTTTTGTTGCATAATTTTTTAACGATTTTTATTTGGGTTGTTAAATATTATTATTTTTTAAGGAAACATCAAAATAAGATAATCAATTGGGAAATTAATTTTAAATCAGCAAATTAAGAACTGATGACCAATTGCATTGAATTGCCCAGCAAACCAGGAATAAAGAGTATCTGTGACGTGGGCAAAATATAAATAGATCGTCGTCTTGTCTGGCGACAGCCGCTGCAAAAGTGACTCGGTCGGATGTGGATGTGGATATGGATGTGGATGTGAATATGGATGTGGCCAGTGGTCAGTGGATGCAATCAAGCGACCAACGCACAGCGAGCAGCGGTGCGCTTGGATGGCTTCAAACCGGAGGACAGGCTCTCGGCTTCATATTGCGACACTTTAACGCAAAGGCAACATTTCGAGGGCTTGGACTCTTGGAGGTTGCAACCAACAAACGACTATTTGTGGTCAAACGCGATGGCAACCAAAAGGAAAAGTCACAGCTGCCCACAGCCGGAACCGATTTTCCGGCTGACTGGTGGGAAGTTGGGAAATTCTTCTTAATATAAGAATAGATTGTAAGCGAGGTTTTTCATTCACTAGACAGAGTACAAAGTTTTCAAAAAGATTCTGCTGTTTTTACTTGCTGTTAGGATTACACTTATTAAGACCATATTTAAAAAATCCAGTCTAGTTTAATATTTCAAATTTGAATTGCTTTCGCGCCCAAGTCATAGCTACAGTCAACTCCCTCTAATACACGCTCTCCGTGGCCGAACCATCAGTATACGAAACAAAGAAAGTGCGAGTGGGACAACTGTTTATAGTGAATCGGTTTATTTATAAAACCGATTCGCGGCAGTGCTGCAAAATGTTTTTATTTAGGCGGTTACAAATTCAAATTCAAATTTGAAAATACGTTTTAACATAATAAAGTTTTCCAAATAAGAGAAAAGTATTATATTAACATTTGTGTGCAAACTAAGTTGAGTTTATTGACAGACCTCAAACAATTTCTGTAATAAATCAAAAAAATGATTATAATAAATATGTTTTGCAATATATTTAAGCTTACTCTTCTTGGTTGCAGTCCATCCAATTTTAGAATTGGCATCCTTGTTATATTTGTTAAGCCAATCCAAGACCGGTTGATAGTACTCCAGCAGGGCCAAGCTACTGAGTCCAGTGTTATTGGGCAGTATTTTGCCAACCACCTCTTTCCAGGGCTTGGTGGAACCCAAAGACATCATGGATCTGGGACAAAAAATAAATATAAGTAATTTATGTATAAAGGTAACTACAACAACTCACTTTAAATCATTGCCAACTGACAAGCTTCCATAGAAGTCGCAATTGTGAAGCGGTCCCCTGCTGAAACTCTTCTTGCAGAACTCCCGATAGAACTGATAGCCCAAGACCTCCGAAATGAATTTCCTAAAAATAAAGATGTTATATTAGATCCCTATTTGGTAGATATAGTTCATTTAACTTACTGAGTTTGGAAGCTCTGGTCGATGTTCACATAGAACTTGTAGGGGAAGTCAATTGCTCCTTCTGACCGATCCGTAGGTGGTTCAATTCCCGCATGCTGCTCCATCAGCCGCCAGTAGTGCTTGTTCACGGTGTCCATGTCCACGGTATCGTTGAGCAGGTCATGCATCACCTTGGTGTGCACATAGTACAAGGGAATGCTAAGGATGGTGTGGATGGCCTGAATAAATAAAATCGAAAGAAATTATATTTCGTTAATAGTTAATTCTATTACTTATTGTAGATTTGTATTAAGTTTAAAAGTTTGATTATCCCCCGTTTTGAGAACCAATCGCTTACTTACCATGCGGAAAAGGCGGCTCATGAGGGCCGTTTGGCTGAGCTCTGCTTTCGAGAAACGTCTTCCAGTGAGATGTGCTGGTGAGGATGCGGACAATACCACAGCCTCGCCCACGGCGAACTCCAGGTTGTAGGCCTTGAAGTAGTACGAGGGCAGGTGGCTCTTCTGCTGGGCGTAGTAGACCCTGGCCATGTGGCTGTGGTACTGCATCAGTTTCCGGAAACTGACCTTCTCGCAGTACATGAGATAGACATGGGGGGTGAGGTCAAAGATGGAGGGTCGGCAGTCGTCATTGGGGCTGTCCTGGTTGGGTTCCTTCAGCTGGTTCTTGTGGAACTCGGCGGACAGAGGCTCAAAGCCCAGCGAAGTGTAGAAGCTCTCGGATTCATTGACCATTGCCTTGGCAGACAGGTGATTGACGAACTCATCGAACTCGGGCAACTGGGCACGAGGGTAGTACTGCTCCAGGATACTCCCGCTGGCCCAGGCCTGCTCCAGGACCTGCTGGAACAGGTGATCCGGAATGGGTCCATTGAGATTGACCAACTCCCCGCCATACTTCTTGTTCAGCTCCTGGCGGACGAAGGAGTGCAGTTGCTGATAGGCAGGACGCAGTTCCTCCATCGCCTGCTCCATCTGCCGCAGCATCTCCTGGCTGTCGTAGCGGTACCACAACTTGTGCACCGGCACCTCCAGGATCTTGGCGGCCCTTTGATAGGATTGCACAATGGTGTAGAAATTGAGGGAGGCCCACAGTTGGTTCTTATCGCGCCAAGCCTCCCAGTAGTACTTCAGCTCATCAGCATCTCGGCTGCTCTGCACAATCTTCTGGATGTCCGGAAAGTAGGCCAGTGGACTATCGTCCTCATTGGGCATATTGGCCCCACCCAAGTAGGGCTCGATGTCCTTGTCCGTGGAGAGGGTTTGCAGGGCAGCCAGGTTCATTTGCACCGAGGAGAAGTAGTCATCGCCCAGGACGAACAAATCGCCCGCACTGCGCAGCTCCTGGAGGGCCAGCTTCGTCTCCGGATTGCGTATCCTGTCCAGATCAAAACCCGCTGCCTGGCGGGAGATGCTCACCAGCTCCTCGGCAATACGCTTCACATTGTTCAGCTTGGAGAACAGGGCATCGAAATCCTCCTCATTGTTGGCCGAATACGTTTCGGCGGCTATCTCGTTGTAGAACCTGTAGTAGCGATCACTCGATTGATTCACAAACGTCTTGGCCTCCAGGTCAACGTTGGCAGCCCCACTCGCGCACTAAAATTGGAAAAGGTCATTAGGTTAAAATAAGACAGAGCACTTTTTATCGTGTTGCTATCAAGGCCATTGGTTTAATAGATAGATTAAAAGTAACAAAATTTGAATTTTTCTAAATTTAAGTAGTATATCTATATGCCAAAAAAAATATTTAGCAAACTTAATCACTTTTTGCAAGTCTTTTTTTTACACATTATCAAAATATTTTGAGGGATCTCATGAGAAGATTAACTTTTCAGTAAGACATTAAACAATTTTTAATGCGCAATTCGATGAATGAAAGTTGGTTTTAACCAAAAAATCTGATGGGATCTTATTAAAGAATTCTTTATTAAGAAGCGCAAAAGATTCACTTTTAATAAAACACTTATTAATCTTTGCCACGCTATTCGATGAGTTAAACTTGGTTTTAAACTACATTTTTGGTGGGATCTCGTCAGAGATTACTTAATCGCTACAGAGCTTACGGCAATGCCCGCTATCAGCAGCAGCAGCAGGCCCATCTCTTCCATCTGGAATCGGATTCACTTTCGCACTCAACACCGGATCTGCTTGGACTGGACTGAGCTGCTCCGGCCGAGGAACTGCCATTTAAAGCTTCCCCCGGCGGCTGATAAGCGCAATCAGCGAGAGATTCTCGATTCCGACGGCCGACCCCCAATAATTGAGCACAAAAGTGGCTTTGTGGAATGCTATGATGTCTTGTTTATTAAGCGGCTCAATAAAGATGCAATAGATTGCTAAGAGTTAATATATCTAGAGGTGGCCAGGGCCAGCGAATCGGGTCAGGGTGGGTGGTGATCAGGAGCGGTTTCATCTAGTTCTGGCGCTGGACAGTGCGGTTCTCGTGGCGAATGGTCACGTCCACGATGCTCATGTTGGGCGTGAGGAAGTTCACCAGGCGGTCCACTCCAGTGCGGGGCAGCCTGTCGAAGGGATAGCCCATGGACTGGCGATCGGGATAGAGGCGATCCCGGACTCCACAGTAGGAGGCGGCATCGCTGCAGCGACCCACCAGTTGCTGGTCAATCTGGGGGTTAAATAAAGTAACAGTTAGAAGCTAGTCGCTTTGGGGAGTCCTATTTGAACCTACCCTATCGTTCTCATAGTTGGACACCATGATGAACAGCACACAGGGCAGTCCCTCGGGCAGACCCTTGGGCACCAGCATGTGGTTGGGCCAGCCGCAGCCGCAGAAGTTGAACTCCAGCTCCTCCGGAGTTCCAGCACTTGGGCGATTGGCATCCAGGTTGCGGAAGGTGCGCTCGAAAGGAATGGTCACACTCGACTCCGTGGAGCGGCGGCGAATGGTGTTGGGTCCCGGGTTCAGTGAAGCCACAAACTTGTCCAGCTCGATCATCATGGAGCGCTGATCCCGCATCAACATGGGTTGGCCACGCTCATCGTTCTTGGGAGCAATGAAGATGCGCACATAGCCGAATCTCTGTGAGCCTCCATCATTGTTCACACTGATGGTGTAGGTGAAGGGCAGATGCTGCAGATGGGTGAATCGGGCAAAGACATTGCCACGCGGCAGGAAGTCAAAGCCACGGGACATGTCCACATCCGACTGCTGCCAGAAGGTGGTCAAATTGTTGGGCCGACCTCCATTGGTGTCCACCTGGATGCCCGTGATCGATACGCCAGAGTAGTTCAGCTGGGTGTCCGTGTAGGCGGGCAGGCGCGACTTGTGCTCCTGGAAGATGCGGTCGATGTACGAGTGCCACTTGTAGAACACCGGATCCCTCATGGCGGTGGACACATCGCCCATCACGCCAAAGGACTCCAAGTGCTTGCTGGTGGGATCGTGGGCGTACGAGATGAAGGTGTGCCCATTGTTGTGCAGATCACCATACTTGAGGAGAAAAAGAAGGATTAGTTTCTCAGAGATATATAGGGCGGATTTCCCAATGTCAGGTTAAGGTCCTAGATTTTCAACTGTCAAAAAAAGTTAACATGAACTCTAATAAAGAGTTTCAAGCAAATGGGACCTAACATGATATTAGGAATACATTTGTGAAGTATAATTATAGCCGATTTCTCAATGTCGGGTTAAGGTTATCTATCTGGTAGCTGAACTCCAGGTAGGAGTTTCCATTTGGATAGAACATATCATGGTACTCAATGGACAACATTTTACCAAAAATGACTTCAACCAAATGTCAAAAGATAACATGACATTGAGAAACCGGCCCTTAGAAGACTAAATCTCTTACCAGCACTCGGTTGGGCGACAGAATGGAGGACTCAATCATGTTGCCCAGGGTGTCAATGCCCGTGGCTTCATCCAAGGGCACCCGGTTGCCACGCTCCTGGAAATAGAAATATAGTTAAATAAGATGTCTAAGGAAAGGGGAACCAATAACCCACATCCATAACGAAGCCTTGGTGAATGGCCTCGTAGATGCGGTCGCGCCAGCGCTCCAGATCGCCAATCTCCACATTCAGCTGGTCAGCCTCCCGGTTGAGATCACTCAGCTTGGTGTTCTCGAAACGTGGCGGCCAGGCACGACTGGCCACCAGGGAGTCCATCTTGGGGAAGTAGCCCTCGGCAATGGGCTCCCGCAGGTTGTTAAAAGGCAGCACCCTGGACAGGTTGTTGCTGAACCGCTCGGCATTGTAGCGGGCGATCACCTGCTGGTGCATGTAGTAGAACAGCTCGCCACGACGATCCTTGTTCACGATGCTGCGGTCGGAGGCCTCGAAGGGATAGACGAGATGCCAGTGCCAGTGGTGCAGGTTGATGCCCAGATCCTCGCGGAAGTACCACAGCCGGTGCTCGGGGTCGAGATCAGAGGCGGTGTAGTCCCTTGGAATGGTGATGGGGATCCGTGAGCCCGGCTGCACCACAAAGGACTCCTCACGCATCTGGCGGATCACCTGCGAGTCGATGAAGCGATCGGGGAAGGTCTGCGAGAAGGAGGGCAGGTCCAGACCCTGGGTATCGGGACGATGGAGCAGGGCCACCGAGAGGGCATAGTTGAACAGAACCGGGTTCACACGATCCCTGGCATAGACAGCCACACTCTGAAGGTCATCCACGGAGCGCATGTTCATGAAGATGTCGATGAGACGGCCGGCGATCCTGCGGTGCTTGGGCAGGAACAGCGAGAACTGCTCGTCGCGGCCCAGGGACATGGGGATCCTCAAGTCGGGAATGGAGATCTCGCGGACCGGAACCCGCTGCTCCACCTTGTCGCCAACACGACTTTGGACCTCATTGCTAATCGGACGATAGCGATCGGTCAGGAAGGAGTCGGGCACATCGAACACGGTCACCCGCTTGCCCTTGTCCATAAAGACGGGTTCGGTGGGATGATCGAACAGCAGGAGGAGGTTCTTCTTATCGGCCATTTTTCCGGGATTTCTAGTAGTCTACTACAGGATCTCAAAAGAAACTATTAAAAGAAGTGTCACTGGAAGCGCTGAAACTTCACAACTGTGACTATCCACCAAAGAACTACGCTTTTTATACCAAACTCAGGAGGTACCAAACACCCAATATCACTCCTAAAAACCGCAGAGAGCGCCTGGGAATACTACCCGGAATGCGGTGATAAGGTTAGGAAAACCGCATTATTTGTTTTAGCATATTTCTAAAATGCCTCTTTTATTATTTCAAGAATACTTTTGTTTTTTTTGTTTTGGTTTAGCTTATCTATACATATGTACTATTGGAATGAAATCGGATTTGGTTATCTCTGGGTTATGCCTGCGTTGTAAATTAAAACTTCTCTACTCCTCCACTTATATCCCATCTAAACAATTTATTATATGTATATATATGTCGCTACATGCATAATACGGCAATAATAATAATTACAAATCGGCTATAATCGATCAACACTTCCCTAATTCCCTACTACTTCAATGTTATACATCTTGTAATACAGTATAGCGCTAAAGAGATAGAGAGAGAGAGGGAGAGACATCAAGATATTTGGCGAATGAGAACATGAGGAATATCGTACGACAAGCGGATCTATAGAGCGTGTATATACAAGAAGTCTGTAGAAATAGTATGCTGTTTCTGTTCTGTTTCCCCTTCCGGTTTCGTTGTGTATAGGTTAGATCTTGTAAAAAGTATCTTAGAAAAGCCCTGGGCATGTCCCGTGTTCCTTGGCCATGATATGTAGTGTTTAAGCTCTTAGAATATAGAGTTAAGGGGGTTTTCAGCTTGGTTCCGATCTCTCAGCCCAAAAGAGAAAGTAAGAAGTGATAGCTTGTGTGTATAGAGTGTAAAGACTTTAATCACATCCAAAAATGCATACACATGTATTTACATAATATCGTGCAGTATAAATCAAGAGTTGTACAAAAATATATCTTCGTGTGTAGGTAGTATATATAAATATTCGATCGTGTGTGTGGTGTACAATATACGCAATTCAAAATAGAGTTCAGTGCTGTTAACAACTCAAAACTGTTGTTCAAATCGATGTGTTGATGGTTAGAATTTGATTTTAGTTCGGTTCGAAGCGCGATTAACTACTCCTTGTATACATATACATATATATAAAACGTTGGAATATGATTCGGTAACGTCGGGGCATAGATATACATATACATACATAGTTACAAATAGTTATCGGTACATATAATACTTGTTCGATTTTGATTTGCTTCTCAACTTGGGAATTAGTCGGTTGTCGTTAAGGATTGCATGTGTATATTGGTGCCCAAATAGTTTCAGACTACGCTAAAGCTACGGATAACATCTAGTTCTAGTTTGGTTTAGTTTGCTCTCGCACTTGTTTCACTTCATATTATTTCACTTCCTTGTTTTTCGTTTTCAATTAAATGGCTTTAGAGTACATACAATACAGACATATATCGAGGAACTTTCACTACTCAACAATATCGACATCAACAACGGGGATCCAACGAAATGTATACAATAAATAACTATCCGGTGCAAATATGCAAGGGTCTGTTCGATCGCAGAGAATATGCCTGGCCTTTGTACTGAGGTTCGCCCGTATCACACTTCCTTCCACTAGCCAATACAACACTGTGCCTACAACTTACTTACGCAGATACTTTGAACGTCTGGGACTCAGGTACAAGTTTTTTCTTTCGATGCGACAAGGTGCAGCTGTGTTAACTGAGGGTCAACTCAAGAGTCTCGAACCAAGGTGAGAAAATGAGAAACAAAATACGATCCCAACCAGTATCCCCCGCTTATCCCACTTAGTTCGCGGCGGTGGAGTTCTGGAACTCCTGCCGGCAGTAGCCCATCACAATGTCCGACCGGCAGTCCCCGCCCATGAGTCCTGGCAGGAGGACCGCCGCCCCCAGGATGGTGACCAGGGCCCCAAAGACCACCAGGCCCAGGGCGGGCAGCTTCTCGCGGCTGAGCAGGGCGTGCGGCTCCATCTGGATGTAGGCCAGGCCGGGCAGGATGTAGGCCAAGGGTATGGCCGCCAGGAGACCCTGAAACGGATGGGTAATGGGGGGTTCATAAATTTGCATGGCAAACACACAGATGGGTTTGGAACTGAACGAGGGGACTCCTTTTGGGATCGGCCATGTGGCCAATACCCGTGACCAGAATATCTAAGGCAAACGACTTGCTAATGATAATAAACTTGGCCATAAGGCTTCCCCAGTTTGAATTAGTCTCAGATGTATTTAATGAAGCCTTTCAAATATACCAATTTTATTCTCGACTTCTGGCTTTCCATTTCCCATTTAAAAGATAACATCACAAAACAGAATATTAAACGAGCTGAGCTATAATATTAATACTAGCTAAAATGGTCATAAATAACCTTTAAATTTGCCAATTCCGAACCTACGTGGCCAATATCTAAATGATAAATGCTCTAAGCTTAAATATAACTAGTTACCAAAACATAAATATAACCAATTAAAACCGTAGTAGATTAGTTTTATACTCTCAGTGTTTGCGCAAAACTTTACTCTCTATCGTTTAGCTTAATTAAACTACATAGCAACGTGAATATAAATAAATTGGACTTAGCTAAAAACAATAGATTAAAAAAAAATGTATGGACATATGCATAAGTATCTGTTTAAAAATAAAAGCATGATAGAGGATTAAATTGGCTTACATTTATAAATAATATGATAAATTTCTATTTAGCGTCAAACTTATTAACCTACATAGCAACATAAATATAAATGATATGGACAATATGTCATTTGATATATATCTCAAAAGCAAATAACAATAATATTATAGATCATAATCTAAATAACTGTTAGTGGTCATATTCTTTAACCTATTGGATGTACATAATACATATATATTTGTATCATTTTGGACAAGTTTAATCTTAGTTCTTTCGGCCAACTTTAAATTTCTGCGGTTTAAGTAACCAATGCACTTGATTAACGGATGTTGGTACTTAAATAATCATAAACAGTACGGCAAAGCAAAACCACATAAAAATACTAACAAATATTAAATTAAAATTTCAAAAAACATCTGGTCTGTATTAATAACTCCTTAAATATGATAGGATTATAATTAACCAATTTAAATATTAAAGATTATCGTATAAACTGGAAGAACTCTGAGGACATCTTTTTTAAACCTTTAAGTTTGCCTAAGTATTTTGGAATAGGATTATTCTGGTCAAGGGTATCGCGCCCGTTTTTCACACCGGACGTGGATAGAAATCATGGATTAAGGACATGCGAACTCCGTACTCACATTCAGCTCCAGCACAGAACCGAGGCAGTCGGTCATGGGCGAGATGACGAAGGCGCTGAACACGATGGCCATGGTAATGGCTTTCGAGTACTCATCGATGATGGCCCCCTTCTCCAGGCTGGGGTCCTTGTCCTGGGTGAACTCGCTGATGGGCTCCTTCAGCACGAACCGATGGACGAGGGCGCGAACAATCTGTGGGGAAAATGGCCCCAAAAAAAGAACATCAGCACATTACATACGGAACTTTCTCAAGTATCAGGGTATCCCAAGCCAACCTCGCGGGAAACGAAGCACTCGATGGGGAAGGTCAGCAGTATCGATATGGAGAAGAGCACACGCGAGAAGTTCATCAGGTCGTCATCCCAGCAATAGTTCTCCAGCAAATCACCTGGGAAAATAATACAAGATAAAACAAAGCAAATCCCCAAAGGTAAATAGGTAGTAAATGCCCGAAAACAGCAGACAGGGAACATCCGCAAATTGCCTGTCAGGGCAATTAAATGCAATTTGTGTCAATCCCTCACCTTGGGACAGGGCGCGGAAGGTGGAGTAGCCGGCGATTCCGAACAGGGCCGCCACCGTCCAGGCGAATCCAATCGAAATGTGGGTGACCTTCTCCCAGCGCTCCATGGTCGCGTCGCGCATCGATTGATAAACGAGGAAGGTGTTGTGATGGCACATGAAAGCTGCACAGACAGATGTCCAATAGATGGATGGATAGATAGATAGATTGGTATAGATACATATATATAGAAGGACAGGGGGTGTTAAATCCCCCACAGACCTACCAAAGACCATAATTCCTGTGGCCGGGATAAGATCCGAGTTGGCAAACCGCCAGGATTCCGCCGTGTCCGTCCTGAGAATAAAAGTTGGGTGAAGAAAAAGGTTTTTCACCGGCGAACATTACACAAAAGTTAACACCAAATTAACATTTCGTTGGCTGCCCTTCCGGAAATGTGAATTATTCGCATAAAAAATGAGTAAAAACAAAAGGTGCGGACCGTGAGATAAGACGAGTGAAAGCCAGGCAGCCGCAAATTGGAAATTTATTTAAATTTTATACCAAGCCGCAGACGCAGCATTCAAGGTTTGCCACCCCCAGCTGGAAAAAGGGGGAGCTTCTGACCTTGAAACTGCTGGGGGAAAGTGTTGGCTGCGCATATGTATGTAGCAATATGCATACAACTTAGTTGCCACTGCAACAGACTCAACTCGACTCGCCTAATGAAAAGCCATAAAAGGCAAACAAGTGGCACACTAAATTTTATGAGCTCAGTGCTTCTGAGGGTTCGGGTTTGGGATCGGGATTGGGATTGGGGATGGTAGAAAGTGGGACTGGGGCACCACCGCCCTGGGCAGTTGCCACAGATTTGAAAGCACTAAAGCGCCACTTAGCACTAACGCCCAGAACCACCCACAAACCCACAAAACCCAACCCTCCACAGCCCAGTTTCCCAGCTCAGGTCCAACTGGTTGCAACTTTGTTAACGGTTAGGGAAAATCGAGGCAAGTGCACAATTTGTAATTAAAACGCAAATAAATCTTCACGCGGTTTTTTTGGTAATTTGTATAAATTGCCTGGCCGACTGCAAAGTTGGCCTTAAATGGTTTTGTCCAATTTTAATATCTTGAATATTTTGATGTCTGGAATATTAAAATGGGAAAAAACCATTTAACGCCGAATGGCTGGCAAAGTTTTCAGCCGGAAAAGCAATTCAAAAATCACCTTTGAAAGCAAATTGCTATTTTCCATCTTCTTTTTTTCATAATC